CAATATAGAGAGAGACTGAACTGAAGGGTAGGTCCAATTAATTAGTCTACCATCTGAGGATGTAATACAATTTTAACATATTAAGTGCCACAGATGGTTCACACCCAGAGTCAATGATTTTTAAGCAGAAGACATTGTACAGTACACAAACTTGAACGATGGGAAAAGAGCAGAAGCCAGTGATGGGGGAGGCTGGCTTAAAAGCTGGATCCCTCCAGCACCATCTCCACAATATGGGGGGCGAGGGAGACAGACAGAGGAGGCATAGGTGCAAGCGGGAACTGAAGCAGTCCCCACTCGTACCGGGTCCCGACTGCTGCACCTCTGCCTTTGAAATGCAGCAAGAGTCACCCCTTAGAAAGGAGTTCAACATTTCAAAGGCAAAGGCGAAATGGAAATAGTGAGCGCCCCCTCCCCTTTTATCAACAAATCAATTACCTACTCAATTGAAATGTAACATCCCTGATTCTGGGACAGGCTATGTTTAAACTACAAGGGACTCTAAGAAGTCAGCACTGCTCCCAGGACTCAGGCAGAAGACTACAAGACAGAAGAACTGCTTTCCAAGACTGTGCTTAGGGAAATAGACTGGGAAAGTATTCTGGACTCTGATCAGACTCCATACACTTAAAACACGCAGGGATCTAGCAACTGGATTCCCCTCACAGCATTCAAGGGGGAAGTCAGCTGGGGAATCCCAGATGCAGCTATGGCACCCACAGAATCATATAATCATAGCATTGTGGGCCTGGGAGGGACCTCAAGAGGTCTTTTAATTGAATCCCCTGCAATCAAGCCACACCTACATATTATTTACACCAACTCTCAAAGGAGTTTGTCTTCTAACATGCTGTTAAGAATCTCCAATGATGAAGCTTCCTCGGCCTTCCTTGGCAATTTAATTCAGTGCTTAATTACCATAAAGTTAGTTAGGAAGTTTGTTCTAATATCTCCAGTGATGGAAATTCTGCAACCTCCCTAGGCACTTTATTCCAGTGTTTAAGAAAAACTTTCTAACTGTCAGAGTCACTAATGTCCAACCTTAACCTCCCATGCTGCACTTTAAGCCTGTTGCTTCTTGTCCTAGCTTCAGCAATAAAGAACATTTTTTTGTCCCTTTTAGGTACTTGAAAACTGCTGTCTTACCCCATCGGTTTTCTCTTTTCCAGACCAAATAAACCCAATCTTCCCTCATAAGTCATGTTTTCTAGACCTTTAATAATTTGTTGCTCTTCTCTGGATTTTTTCCCCTTTCCCTCCCCATCTCCCCTGTTTTTCTGCTATTTATTTGTACCTCTGGACCCCTTGCTCCGTTCCTCTGAGGAAGTGGGTTGTGCCCACGAAAGCTCATAATATCATCGGCATTTTTGGTTAGTTTCTTAGGTGTGGCAGGACCATTCCTTGTTTTTAATTGGTGAAGCACCGTTTACAGGGGAGTTGGCTCAGCTGGAGGTAGAGTGAGGGAGACTCTGCCTATTCCTGAAGAAGAGCGTTATAAAAGCATCAGCACTCCAAAAGCAGCATAGATGATTGACATAGACATTGTTGCAAAAAAAAGCAAACATGATTCTGGGAGGCATTAACGGGAGGGTTGTGAGCAAAACACGAGAAGTCATTCTTCCGCTCTACTCAGCACGGATTAGGCCTTCATTGGAATATTGTGTCCGGGCACCACATTTCAAGAAAGATGTGGAGAAATTGGAGAGGGTCCAGAGAAGAAGAACAAAAATGATTAAAGGTCTAGAAAAAAAATGGCCTATGAGGCAAGACTGAAAGAATTGGGCTTTGTTTACTTTGGAAAAGAAAAGACTGTGAGGGGACATGATCAGTTTTCAAATAACTAAAACGGTGTTATAAGGAGAAGGGAGAAAAATTGTTCTCCTTGGCCTCTGATGATAGGCCAAGAAGCAATGGGCTTAAATTGCAGCAAGGGAGGTTTAGGTTGGACATTAGGAAAAACTTCCTACCTGTCGGGGTGGTTAAACACTGAAATAAATTGCCTGCATAAGTTGTGGAATCTCCAGCACTGGAGATATTTAAGAACAGGTTGGTTAGATCATCCCTGGTAGATGTCTAGCTGGTGCTTGGTCCTGCCATGAGGGCAGGGGACTGGACTTGATGACCTCTTGAGGTCCCTTCCAGTTCTAGTGTTCTGTGATTCTAAGAAACAGTGAAGAGCATTGGGGAAGGATGGATTCTGTTTGTGTGGAAGCCTCATCTTCTATTGCAGTCATTCTTGAAGTGCATGTCCTGATGTTTGAAAAGAGCTTGTGCTGGATGTGTTTTGTATTTAAGGGGAATTTGCTGACCACAGCTTCTTTGTTTCTTTCTTCCATCTGAAAAGATGATTGGCATCGGATACGTTTCACCTTATTTTTTAAATCATGAGCGTCGTCTGTCCCGCCACTGTGAGTGAAGCTGGAAAACGATGGGGATCGATAATACAAAATGTGTGTTCCTTGTAGCTCCCCTATTGGGATTCTCCTCAATGTGCCTGCAGCGAGCCGATGGCTGTGGGACCTGTCCCCCCCAGCCCGAGATTTTTTGAGATGATCCTAAAACCAGTGTTCCCTCTAGTTCCCTCTAAACTGCGCAGCTTCACAGATGATTAATCAGCCCTGCCCAGTCAGCCAACTCCTTGCATGGAGCCCTGAGCCTCTGACGGGGCAGGGCTGACTGTGAAGCTGTGCTGCCTGGCACCTTAGAGGGAACACTGCCTATGACCCTCAAAAACTCCACTTGAGACAAAGCAGGGGTAGTTCTGGGTGGGCTATTGTGCTGCAACCTGTGTATGAACTCTTGGGCAAGAGGCTGGGTTCAAAGCCACGGTCCTGATTCTGCTCTCACGCCCCGCAATGGGAATCAGGAGTAACTTCCCTGTGACCAGTGGAAAGCCACTCTCGTGCGTGGGAGATCAGAGGCAGGCCCTGGAGCAGAGCAGTTCTATGTCTGATAAACCCCTGCAGCCAGCAGCTGTCTGGTAGCATCTGCCTGTCTAGCCAGTGGATCATGAGGATGGAAACCAAAACCAACCTGGGGAAGGAGCAAAAACCAGAAGATGAATGTAGCAGCAGGGACTAGAGAACGGAAACTGATTGGTTCACCCAGTTTGTGCCACGTTACTGAAACAAAGCAGGGCTGCACAGCCAACATTGGTCACTGATTTTCCTCTGCTATAGTCTCAGCTCCTTTGCTGAGGATGGGCTGTTAACTGGACGGGCCCTTATAGTCAACTCCCAAATGACATCAAAAGCTAAGTATCGAGCACTCACAGACCACCCTATTGGTCTCGTTTAGCACGGACACTTTAATTGACAAGGTTTTGTTGTTTTTTTCCCCTTTCCCTCCCCATCTCCCCTGTTTTTCTGCTATTTATTTGTACCTCTGGACCCCTTGCTCCGTTCCTCTGAGGAAGTGGGTTGTGCCCACGAAAGCTCATAATATCATCGGCATTTTTGGTTAGTTTCTTAGGTGTGGCAGGACCATTCCTTGTTTTTAATTTTGTTTCAGTTACAGACTAACATGGCTACGCCTCTGAAACTTTTGTGGGAATATACTTTTCAGAATAGTTGGGAGATGTTGAAATGTGGCAATTTAAAAATTATTAGTTTTGTTATTGTTATATATTATACTCTATATTCTCTGACAAGGAGATTTGCCTGACACCAGCTTCCCTATGATGCTGTGTTGTCTTTGCAGCATATTCTGCTGGGGACTGTCACAGAGACAACGGGCAGCCCCACGGAGGACTTCCATGATGCCATGGAGATAACTGGCCTTCCTCCTTTTCCCTGTGGGCGGGGGAGATTCATGTGCAGAGAGTGCCCTCAGGATGATCCAGGTCCTTGAAGCCGCTCCAGCAATGCACTGGAGGTCTGGAAGCGGTGGCGAAGGGGAGAAGAGGCTGTAGGAGAGGCCAGGGTTGACAGTTAGATGAAGACGGGGTGGGGGAGGGAGACAGAAGACTTGGCTTGCAACAGCTATAAACGTCCCAAAGAAAAGGAACTGTTGCTTTAAACTTCCTCCTTTGCCTGCTAGCCCTTTCCACTCAAGTTAAAACCAGCACCCTGCAGAAGTTGGTGTGAATGCAGGGACTGAGTCGGTGTGAGGGACAAGAGAGTGCAGAGAACTGAACCCGTAGGCCCTGCTACCCTCCCGTCATTCGGTGCAATTCAGCCTAGCGTGGATAACACAGAACACTCTGCCCAGCATTACAGAGGGGCGCAGGAGTCTGTGGCTTACAGCCCAGAGGTGACAGCATCACGTGTGTCGAAGAAATGGCCCGAGTGGGAATAACACTGGGCCTGGCAGACTCTTCCTCGGGGTAGCGGTGACCTGGATCCTGGGAGTTGTGGCGCTGACGTCAGTGGGAGCAGGCGTATGCCCAGGAGGTTTTCCAGGTTTCCCAGAGCGGCTTAGGAGCAGAGCTGAGTCGCACGCCCGTCGCACTCGAGACGGGGGTGATGTTTTTCAAACGCTGTGGTGCAGGATGCCCCAGCGATCGTGGGGCTCTAAAAGGGGGCCCAGGAGTGCAGCAGTAAGGAAACCCCAGCGGCGCGGCTACACCACTAGGCCAAAATACGGCAAGCACTCCTCAGGCCTGGTTCTGAAGTGCATTCTGCCGAGCCCCTCCCTGGCGGGGTGCTGCATGAGAGGACCCTGGCTGAGTTGTCCTTTCCCGTGCAGAGGCTTTCCCTGCGAGGGGGAAGAGTGACCCCAGTTTTTTTCTTCAGAATTGGCAAAGGGTGAGGAGACGATGTGTCTGGCCAGATTGGGAATCCCAGTAAGAGAGACACGTGACCGGCCAAACTCAAACAAAGGGATTGTAAGAGCTCACATGGGCCTGGGCCCTACGTCCTGCCAGTGGCCTCAGGGCGAGAGGCGGGCAGCCCCGCACTTCTCCTCCGCAGGCCCTTGGGAATCCGTCGCTTCTGACGGGGTGTGGGAAGTGCAACCGACACTAATCTTCCTTCCCTTTGCTTTCCATGGTGTCTCTGCAGGGTGTGAAAGAGGAGGTCACGGAGAAACCAAAACGCGCTCCGACCGCAGACAAAGCCGGCTGGGTAAAGAAAAGCAGCGGAGGGCTCTTAGGATTATGGAAAGATCGGTACATCCTGATATGTAAAACGCAGCTGCTGGTGTTTGAAGATGAGGTATGGTCTCCTGAGGCTTTCCTGAACCAGGACCCTACCCTGCATGGTGTGGCATGGGATCAGGCCTGTAGGTGACACAGGAAGTTTGTCTCTTTCCTCCAATTCATTCAGTTCCATTTAGTTTCTCAAGAAAAACCCTGAAAGGTTAAAAGTAATAGAGAGGAGACAGCTGGTGAGTTTAAGAGTATACTATAAATATTTGCACCCGTGACAGGAAACGGCTAAAGCTGTTGCCAAATTTGGAAAAAAAATAGGTTCTTTAAGAAACGGAGCAGCTTATCAATTTAGGAGCAAGGGGACAGGATGGTGGGACAGCGATTTTTTTTTTTCTGTTTAAATTATAAAACTGGATTGCAGCCGTCTGACTTGCCACCTGCTACTTAAGTGAATGACACAGCCTTGCAGCTGTTTGGCAGCCTTCTGATATCTGGCCTGCAATGTTTCCAGCTCCTCAGGGTTTCACTTACCCATTCATGGGTGTGGAGTGTTTTTGTGAGTGTTTGCAGTGATCCTTAAATGCGGGCACAAGGCAGATTTTACTTG